TATTATAAATATATAAATAATTATAAATAATACTGTAAATTACATTTAAAGTAATACTATTTGCTTGCAATTCACACAGCACCTGCTCATGGCATGAATGATAAGGAAAAGGATGGAAACTAGAAACAGAGGCCAGCTCAGGCTAACCATATACACCTGTAGTCACAGAGGTTGATTAAAACCCAAGTCACTTGTCCACCAAAAAGGTCCCTGCAGAATTCCTTCAGAATTCCCTTTAAAAGACAAAGGAATAATTGTATTCCTGTTTTATTCCTGTATACCATTTTACAATATAAAGACAGTGCCCTGCCATGTTGGACCGTGACACGTGCTTTCAAGCATCTCTAAAATTTGAAGTCAAGTAACTGCCGCGTAACAAAAACAGCACTCGCATTCCCAAGCTTTTAACAGGCTCAGCCATATGTGTCTTCCTAACTCTAAGAAAATGGAGGAAGTCTTAGTTTTCTCCAGTCAACAAGAAGGCCATCTCACTGATGATGCCTTCAAGAAAGTCTCTGCAAAACTGGCAGAGCAGTTAGCACTAACAGTGAACTCTTCATGATCCACTTGCTGCTCAAACATAAATGCATCTTAGACCTCTTCACCCACAGACCAAAACTGGGCAGAAGCCTTTAGTTACACCTCCTCTTCCATAATCCCTGTTTAAAAACTACAGCTCCTAGTAAGAATTCAGTGCACATCACTGAACAGTGAGCCCACGGTTGGCTATCTCACCTTGCAGTGACTATCTCTGGCTGCATCGTTTGCATGTGCATCGTCACTTTCTACTTGGCAAGAAATGTTATCATTGGATTTGAGATGAAAGATGGCTTTTGGATAGTCCTCCATATATTAACTGCACCACTTAAAAGTTGCTACGCAACAACAGACACAGCATTTTCTGCTTTTCACTGGGGAGAGAGCAGGGTTTCCCACTCTGCTTTTGTGGAAAGTTGTGCTGTATTTTAACTAATTAAGCACATTCTCTACCCCAGCAGTACTGCCAACTTGTACTGTGTACCTCTAAACATCACAAAAACTAAAATTCTGGAAACAAAAGGAGATTTAATGAGTGCAGAAACACACAGAATTCATTTTCACCAAAATCTCAACCCTGCAGGCTGATTACCCTTAACCAAGATCTGGGGGAAGTGAGTAATGAGCAAAGGGAAGAGAAGATGGACAAACGCTGTGCCCGTGTCACTCTGAACCACCACTCTTCCCATTTGGGTTAAAATGTCTGCTGAATCATCAGCAACAAATTCTGTTGCTTGGAGCATCAAGCAGAATACAATTCAATCTAGTTAAATTTTCACTACTTCGAACTGTATGTATCCCATTTTGTAAAAAATAGCTACTAGTGTAAGCTGGTGAAACATCAGGTGCAGGCAGATACCACCTCAGCTGTTTCAAAGGGACTGAGCAGAACAGTCAATGGCTGGCGATAAAAGCTGAATTTGAACTGAAATGTTGTGCATGTGACATTCCTCAACTCCCCAGAATCTTTTTGTTTGTTTGCTTGTTTTTTACCCAATAAAAGCTGTGTCTAAAATCAAAGGTTTTGGAAGAAAGTGAATCCTCCAGCATGATCTTTTGGAAACGCAGAGTGACCGAACTAAAAGACCCGAAAGCAATTTAATGGCAGCTTGCGCTAACCTTGTAACACAAGATCAAGGGAGAAAACAAGGATCAAGAGAGGAAACAAGTGGATCGACTACTGAATTCACTGTGAATTTCCCCCATGGCAAATAGGTCCACAAGACTGAGTATTAGGAGTAAGATGATCTCGCCCAGCTTTAATGCAGAAAATGAGCTGAAACTTTACTCTCTCGAAGTAGTCAGTGACAGCCATTGATATCACAGCAAGGAAATGTGATGGAGAAGCCTGGGAGCATCATGTCCCTCCTGGGGGTCCTACCACCAGGCATGGGAGCACATGAGCCCCTCTGAAGCCCCGAGAAGGGAGAAGGGCCCAGGGAAATCTCCCACATCTGAGTGCAAGCCAGTTTAGAGCCCAGTGACACAGACTAGAATAACGCCCATGATATCCATGATATCTGAGGGTATTAGAAAGGAGTTTGTGAACTCTCTGCAGCAATCCTGCATGCGTCAGGTGGGACCGCCTAGGCTCCCTCATGAAGGCTACAGTTATGGAAGAGCTGGCTGGGAGCCACGCAGGAACTGGGGACACCCACGCTGCCTTCACCTGGACACGTGCTGCTTGAGCTGTGCAGGGATGATAAAAACCAATGATTTCCGTGACAATTCTCTCACAAGCAACCTTCCACGGGTGCCTAAAGCCTGTGCCTTTCTTAAGGGCTGTGTTAGGATGACACAGGAGAAAGCTCTCTATCCATGTTCACCAACAGATACTCAGCGGTGCCACGAGTGTCACAGCACCCAAGCGCACCCAAGTGTGGATTGGCATCCTGAGAAGCAGAATTGGTCTGAAGCATTGATTATGCTTCAGATAAATAAATAAATAACAGATAAATAAACAACGCCTCATAACCCATGTATAAATACATGTCCCTCTTTCTGCTAAGCTTTCCTTCCTGGGAAAAGCTACTGTAGCAAGGTGGATCTCAATGCCCGCCTGCCCGCGGCGAGCGCCTCGCGGCAGCTCGCAGCCCCGCTCCCACTCGCTGGGGCGCTTCAGCAATCCGACTCCATGCCATGTCCAGTGCCCCGGAGGACAAGGGCCCTTGCCCAGTAGAACTGAGTCCCCCTGCCCGCTGCTCCCTGCCCACCGCAGAGCCCCACACGCAGCCCCAGGCCGCGGCCGCGCTGGAGGCCCAGGCAGGGCAGCGGCGCAGGCGCTGCCGAGCATGGCCGCCGTCTCCC